AGTGGTAACAATTCCTCCCTATCTACACTGTTCAGACCTCTGATGATCTTGAAACCTATCAAATCTCCAGTTAGTCAACTTCTCCGACCTCTCCTCTTAACTGAAGTCTCTCATCCCTGGAACCATTCTCATAAAGCTCTTCTGAATTCTCTCCTAATGCATTTAGATCCATCCCATAGTGAGGTGAACAGAACGGTGTACAGTTCTCCAGCTGAGCTCTAATCAGTGTCTTATACAAAAGTGTTATAACCTCCCTGTTCTTGTAGTCTATGCCTTTATCAATGAAGCCTGGAATAATGTCTTGCCACCTTTAATGACCCTGCATATAAACACCCAGGTCTCCCTGCTCTTTTATACATTTTAGATAGTACACTAGCTTTATATGTCTCTCCATGTTCTTTATACCATAATGCATGATCTCACACTTCTCTGCACTGAACTTCAGCTGCCGCTTATTCACCCACTGCACCAATTTGTCAATGTCCTTTTTGAAGTTCTACACTGTCCTCTTCAGTTTACAACACTCCCGTGTTTTCCAATGTTTTGAAACTGCACACCAAAATCTAGATTATTAATGCATATCAGGAAAAGCAAGGGTCCCAATGACAACACTTAGGTTATTTGCGGAGTTCCCTATTTCCAGCCTGAGAAGTTAATGCAGGCTTAAAATGTTTGGGTCTTGAGATGGTATACATGCAGGTCATCAGCTTTCTCTCCAGTGTCTGCTGTTTCAAAACCTTCTCAGCTAATTCTGCTGATTTACCAGCTGTCTTAGACTCATCTTTCCTTTAGATGCACTAGTCGTGTCTGGCAAGGCATTCTTTTCATTTTTTGATTTAGGCATAAAGTGTCCTTTATGGTTCTGCAGTCAGATCCTCTGTGTCATGCCATTTGTTGATCAGCCTCTCAGTTCTGGCCTCATAACTCTAACAATGTGGAAGGAAGGAGGAGGAGGTGGGGACAAAATATCAGCCAAGGCTCCTGCTCACTCTTGATCATTATTTATCATGAGTAGAACATAGAAGCTTGATTCAAGCTTCGTTTGCCAAGAGAGGCAAGAAAACAGCCACTTTCATTCTGTTTTTGCCCCCTCACATCCTGAAGCTATTCTTCAGTCCCATTCCAAAAATCAGTTTGTTGGCAACAGTCTGAGACTAACCAGACAGTTCACAAACGTGATGTCATATTTGACCCTGAGCTGATCAACCATACACTCATGCCACCAACAGCACCCATAATTTTCACCACAGTAACATGGCCAAATTTCACCCCAGTCTTAGCTTATTTGCTGCTGAAACTCTCATTCATGTTGCTATTACTTGTAAACTCGAGAATTTCAACATATTATCGGGTAGTCTCCCATCTTCTATCCTCCATAAACCTTAAGTCATCCAAACTTCTGCTGCTGTGACTTTACTTAAGCAATTCCTAATCCCCTATATTTCCATGCTTCCTGATCTAAATGGCTCCCATTTAAGCAAAAAATTTTAAAATTCTCATCCTGGCTTTTCAAATACTTCTATGACTCTGTTCTATAGTGTCAAGACATTTGCACTTAACTAAGAGATAGTAGGAACTGCTGATGCTGGAGAATCTGAGATAACAAGGTGTAGAGCTGGATGAACACAGCAGGCCAAGCAGCATGAGAGGAGCAGGAAAGCTGACGTTTTGGGTCTGGACCCTTCTTCAGAAATGCTGAAATGCTCATTAACTAATTCTGCTATTGTTGGTTGTACCTTCCTTTGCCTAGGCTCCAAGTTTGGAATTCTCTTCTTAGACTACTAAATTACTAACTCACTTTCCTACTTAAAGATATTTTTGAAAACCTACCTCTTGCTCATTATTATCTCCATATTTGGTTTTGTATTATCAGTTTGCCATATTATTTTCCAAAGAGCACTAACTAGCCTGTTTAGTTTTGCCACAAAACTAGGGGGAACACTTCCAGCATATGCAATGTCAGGGTGCAAGCTATGTGTATTAAAAAACAAACAAGTAGGCTTGACACAGACCAGTAATAAAGTTCAGGTTTCCTTCCTTAGGTCTGTGCAACCCTTAACTAATTGCAAGTTCTTGTTTTGAGTCCACATAATTTATCAACTGTTCCCTCTTTAAAACAGGTTTCTGAAGATTAAGTCAACCATGAAGATATACAATCAGGAAATATCAATGAATGAGGTTTGTAAATTCCAATGTGCAGAATTGATTATAAGCTTAGTTTAATAAACTACTAGATTGCAGGGCTTCAAGAAGATAGCTCACCACCACCTTCTCTAGGGAACCATGTCTGGCCAATAAGTATTGGCTTAACCAGTAAAGCCAACAGCCCATCAATCAAAAGAAATGAGGTCAATAAAATATTACTTTGATGAAAATATTCAAGAAAATCAATTCCAATGCTGACCTTAAAAAGATGACCCTCGATTTAAGAGTCCCAAATCACTGAATAAGTCTCTTCAGCTATTCAGGAAATCCTTGCCCAAAGCTTTTCCATAGTGGATCAAGCTTAATTCAGCCACTCACATGAAATCCCATTGAGACTGAATCCCACTACAGATTGGGAACCAGGATGAATTGTTGCTGGCAAATTTTTAATGTGTCACAGTGAAATCAACGCTGATTGAAACTTTTGACACTGACCAGAGAGGCATTGGGGATGGTTGCATAAGTACCAGTGGCTGAACTGTGGACTGAGCATACATGCACAACTACGCAACTGCTCCTAATGCTTTTTTGTTTGGGAGCAGAGTTACGTTGATATAAATAAAGTTGTTTCTGATGTTAAGTAATGGAAAGCACTGAACAGGTACAAAGAGCATGGCGTACTACCATAAATCACGCACATTTATAAATGATTGATAAAGTGCCAAACAGGTTAGATAATACTTCTTATTAAAATCTACCATTTTTGTCAAAGGTTTTCTACCACCCGAGGTAATGCTGCAGCCAGTTAACAATGTTGTACTTATATTTCCTCTAGATAGTCTCAGATTCAAACCATCAATTCCCATGGACCCACTATTGCTGCATCGTCAATGTCACATTGGTATTCACTAGTACACTGCACCAACACCAAAACAGCAGTTTTGAAATGGTAAAGTAGTACTGTGACCCAGTTAGGAAGCTGGCACTGAAACCATAGACTGTAACTGTGTGCCAGTTCAAGGCAAAAACAAACTTACACTAATAAAATAACAGACTCTGAAACATAAGGCACAGTGGTTAGCTCTGCTTCCTCACAGCACCAGGGGCCCATGGTCAACTACACCCTCAGGTGACCGTCTAGTAGAGCTTGCACATTCTTCCTGTGTCTGTGTAGATTTCCTCCAGTGCTCCGGTTTCCGTCCAAAGTCCATAGATGTGCATGTTAGGTGGATTGGCCGTGCTAGATTGCCCATAGTGTCTAGGAATGTGGATTAGCCATGGGAAATGCAGGGTTACAGGGATAGGGTGGGACAGTGGGTCTGGGTGGTATGGTCTTCAGAGGGTCAGTGTCGACTCAACGGATCGAGTGGCCTGCTTCCGCACTATAGGGATTCTATGCTTCTATAAAAGCACCTGAACCTAAATTAAACACATTGTATTTTAAGTCAGTGAAATAAATACAGCTTTTAATGTTAATACATTCAGTTTTTTCTAGTGATTAACTAGGTTTCTATACAAAATGTAGATCTGGGGCACCATTCAATCTGGGAGCCAATGTCAAAGAGAAAAGTGCTTGCCAAGCATACGTCGTGGGAGCAAACTCCAAGTATGAAGCAGTCGACCGTTTACTGTATAATGAATTCTCAGTCATTGTGACTCTGCGCCAATTTTTCTCTGGAGAGTAAAGAAACAGTAGGACCCAAAGAAAAGCAAGAAAGTGTTTATAACAGCTATCAATTTAACTCCATTTTAATATTTCAGTAATGTCTTTGACATACTGCAGCAGCCTGAGAAATCAGGCATACTTTACTTGCATAATAATAACAGTTTCAAAATGTTGGCAAAAAACACATTGAGGTCTTAAATAACCAGCTCATTGCACAGAGCTTGCTTATACGTGTAATGTTTATTTAATGAGGTTAGCCAGGCTTTCAGCTTGAAAAATGCAACCAAGTTTGATTAACAAGTTTTTGTCATTGTTGTATGGGGAATTGGGGAAGGTGTTTGGAGTGAGGAGATTTAGAAGTGGACTGGAAGTGCTGCAAGAGCTATTTTTATGATTTCAAACTGGAAATGAAGGAGACTTATTTATAAACCTGGTCACAAGTTACTTGGTTTACTTAGTCTCTAAAGATAGATGGTGATGCTGCACATATTGAATACATAACTCCAGTTGTGTAAATGTGATTTTGAAAATAGCAGGGAGTGTGTCAACGCAAACAAAAAAAAATTACTATATATTCTGCTCATCTAAACATCAAATATGCCTGGACATATTTCACATTTTTTTAAAATATCCTTCTTTGGAATGTTTGCCCTTGCATTAACTCAGAGAATATCAGTGGACAATTGAAGCCCTTGTCTCTTACTTTAAAATGGCACAAGTAATGTCAACAATTCCATAGGTCCTTGCAAAATGCATAATTATTACCGCTGTGATGAGAAGCAAATTTGTAATTGGGGAGTAGCAAAACAACATTGAACACAATCACATGCCCAGACAGGTTCACTAACGTCCTTTAGAGAAGGAAACTGCCATCCTCACCTGGTCTGGCCTACATGTGACTCCAGGCCCACAGCAATGTGGTTGGCTCTTAACTGCCCTCTGGGCAACTGGGTATGGGCAACAAATGCTGTCTAGCCAGTGACGCCCTCATCCTATGAATGAATAAAGAAACTAAAAGGTGATGAAGGGTCTAGGCCCGAAACGTCAGCCTTCCTGCTCCTATGATGCTGCTTGGCCTGCTGTGTTCATCCAGCTCTACACCTTGCTATCTCAGATTTTCCAGCATCTGCAGTTCCTACTGTCTCTAAAAGGTACATCTTATGAGATAATATATTCATCGTATACTTACAGTTCCTCAAGGTATGGGAGATTTTTGAAGGAATCAGGTTGCAGCTCAGTTATGTTGTTCATGCTGGTATCCCTGGAGAGAAAAGTTTATATGACATTATAGGTACACGTCAACAAAATTTTACATTTTTAACAAATTGATTTATTTTTCCTCAACATTTATTTTAACATAAAAGTCTTGCTTTTGAACATTATGACTCTTTGCTGAAGTTACCAGGTACCTCACACCATATTTTGCATGGAAAATGATGGGGAAAGATATGGGGTGGGGTCTCAGCAGAGATTAAAGCTTCCAGAACAAGTAATTGGGAATGGAAATGGTCAGGAATCTATCTTCAGGCACAACTATGAAAGGTGTGTTGTGGGGGGGTGGGCAGTCAACACAGTATGAAGGGTGAAGGGTGTTGTACTTAAATGCGCATAGTGTATGAAACAAGATAAATCACCTTGCAGTGCAGATTCTAATTGGTAGGTATGATGTTGTGGGTATCACAGAGATATGGCTGTAAGGGGATCAGGGGGCTTGCATTGTTAGTAAGAAATAAAATTAAATCAATAGCAAGTGATATAGAGGCTGAAGGTGTAGAATCTGTGTGGGCAAAGTTGAGGAACTGCAAAGGGAAAAAAAAATCCTTCTAAGAGTCGTGTACAGGCCTCCTAGCAGTGGTTAGGATGTTGGGAAGAAACTAAATTAGGAGATAGAATGGGCGCATAAGAAAAGCACTATTACAATAATCAATATGCAGGTGGACTGGGAAAATCAAGTTGGTAGCAGATCTCAGGAAAGGGAATTTGTGGAATGTCCACGACATGGTTTTTCAGAGCAACTTATGGTACAGCCGACTAGGGAACAGGCAATTTTGGATTTGATAAGGTGCAATGAGGCAGACTTGATTAGACAGCTCAAGGTGAAAGAATACCTAGGGGACAGTGACCACAATATCATAGAATTCACCCTCCAGTTTCAGAAGCTGAAATCATATGCAAAAGCATTACAACACTAGAAAAGGTTAGACCAGATCTAAAAGTTAAAGTTCTAAATTGGAGGAAGGCCAATTTTGATGGTATTAGGCAAGTATTTTCAGAAGTTAATTGGGGGCGACTATTTGCAAGTAAAGGGACAGCTGGAAAGAGGCAGGCATTTAAAAATGAGATAACAAGAGTCCAGAGACAGTTTTTTCCTGTTAGCGTGAAGGGCAAGGCTGGTAGGTGTTTGGAATGCTGGATGACTAGAGAAAATTAGGCTCTGGTCAAGAAAAAGGTGGTGGTGTATGTTAGGCATAGCTGGGATCAAGTGAATCCTAGAAGAGCATAAGAGCAGGAGTATATTCAGGAGGGCAAAAAGGGGACATGAGATAGCTTTGGCAAATAAGGTTAAGGAGAATTCAGAGATTCTACAAATACATCGAGGACAAAACAGTAACTAGGGAGAGATCAACAAGGCTGCCTACATGTGGAACAGCAGGAGATGGATGAAATACTAAATGAGCATTTTACATCAGTGCTTACCATGAAGGAGGGTATGGAAGCTAGAGAAATAAATAGTGCTATCTTGAAAGTCTCCTTATTACAGTGGTGGTAGTGCTGGATTCTTAAAACGCATAAACGTGGATAAATCCCCAGGACCTGATCAGGTGTACACCAGAATTTTGTGGGAATCTGGGGAAGTGATTGCTGGGCCCCTTGCTGAAATATTTGTGTCATCAGTAGTCGTGGGAGAGGTGCCAGAAGACTGGAGGGTGGCGAATGTTGGTGCCTTTATTTAAGAAAGGGTGGTTATGGAAAAGCCAGAGAACTTTAGACCGGTGAGCCTGATGTCAGTGGTAGGGATTTTTGAGAAACAGAATTTATATGTATTTGGAAAGGAAAGGACTGATTAGGGATAGTCAACATGGCTTTGTGCATGGGAAATAGTGTCTCACTAACTTGACGGAGTTTTTTGAAGAAGTGACAAAGAAAACTGATGAAGGCAAAGCAGTGGACGTTGTCTATATCGACTTCAGCAAGGCGTTCAACAGGATTCCGCATGGTAAACTGGTTAACAAGGTTAGATCGCATGGAAAACATGGAGGACTAGCTATTTGGATACAAAATTGACTCAAAGGGAGGAGATAAAAGGATTGTGGTAGAGCGTCACTTTTCAGACTGGAGGCCTGTAGCACACTGCTGATCACAAGGACTGGTCCACTGCCTTTTGGCATTTATATAGATGATTTGGATGTGAATAAAGGAGGCACGGTTAATAAGTTTGCAGATGACACTAAAATTGGTGACACAGTGGACAGCCAAGATGTTTACCTGAGAATACAACAGGACCTTGATTAGATGAGTAAATAGGCCGGAGAGTGGCAGATGGAGTTTAATTTAGATAAATGTGAGGTGCTGCATTTTGGTACGACAATTCAGGGTACAATACACTTAATGGTAAGGTCATGGGGAGTGTTGTCAAACAGAGACCTTGGGTTGCAGGTTCATAGTTCCTCAAAAGTGGAGTCGCAGTGTAGAGGTGGTGGTGTTTGGTATGCTTGCCTTTATTGGTCAGTGCTTTGACTATAAGAATTGGACGGTCATGTTGCAGCTGTATGGGACATTGGTTAGGCCACTTTTGGAATACTGCATTCAATTCTGGCCTCCCTGCTATAGAAAAAATGTTGTGAAACTTGAAAGGGTGCAGAAAAGATTTATAAGGATGTTGCCAGGGTTGGAAGGTTTGAGCTATAGGCAGAGGCTGAATAGGCTGGGGCTATTTTCCCTGGAGCATTGGAGGCAGAGGGGTGACCTTACAGAGGTTTTTACAATCATGGGAGGCATGGATGGAGTGAATAGCCAAGGTCTTTTCCCCGGGCTAGATGAGTTCAAAATTAGGCAGCATAAGTTAAAGGTGAAAGGGGAATAATTTAAATGGGACCTAAGGGGTAACCTTTTCACACAGATGGTGATGTGCGTATGGAATGAACTGCCAGGGGAGGTGATGGACGCTGGTACTATTACAACATTTAAAAACGCATCTGGATAGGTACACAAGTATGAAGGGTTTACAGGGATATGGGCCAAATACTGGCAAATGGGACTAGATTAATTTAGGCTATCTGGTCAGCATGGACCAAAGGGTCTGTTTCTGTGCTGTATAATTGAGTAAAGGTTACTACAAAGATAGAAGGGGCAAGTTGACTGGAAGGGAAGCCTTGCAGGGAAAACGGTGAAGCAGCAATGGTAGGTGTTTCTGGGAGTAATTTGGGAGCAAAAATTCAACACAAGGAAGAAGGAACATACTAAGGGGAGGATGAGGCAACCATGGCTGCCAAGCAAAGGGAAGACATACAAGATGGTGAAGATCAGTGGGAAGCCAGGGGATTGGGAAGCCTTTAAAAATCACAGAATAACTCAAAAAGCAATAAGGACAAGCAAATGAAATATGAGAGTAAGCTAGCTAGTAATATGAAAGAAGATAGCAAAGGTTTTTTTTAAGCTATTGAAAAAGGTAAGAAAGAGGCAAGAGTGGACATTGAAGCACCGGAAAATGAAGCTGGAGAAGTAATAATGTAGAATAAAGAAATGGCAGAATTTGAATAGGTACTTTGCATCAGCCTTCAAAGTTGAAGAAACCAGCTCCTTACCAGAACTTCAAGAGAGTCAGGAGCAGAGGGGAGTGCAGTGACCATCACAAAAGTGGTAGTACTGGGGAAGCTGAAAGGTCTGAAGTTGTTTAAGTCACCCAGACCAGATGGACTACAACCCAGACTTCTGGAGGGGGTAGCTGAATAGATTGTGGAGTCATTAGTGGTGATCTTTCAGGAATCAGTGGAGTCAGGAAGGGTGGCACAGGACTGGAAATTGGCTAATGTAACACCCCTGTCTAAGAAGAGAGGGTGGCAGATGACAGGAAATTATAGGTCTGTTAGCCTGACCTCAATCATTGGCAAGATTTCACAGTCTATTATTAAGGATGAGATTGCGGAGTACTTGGAACTGCACGGTAAAAAGTGCCGAGTCAGTGCAACTTCACGGCTTGGGGTGGGGGGGGGGGGTGGTGGTGGGTTGCAGGATAGTGTGTGTTGGTTTCACGTCTAACAAATCTGTTAGAATTCTTTGAGGAGGTAATGAGCAAGGAGAACGCAACAAAGGAGAGCCAGTGGACATGACCTATTTGGAATTCTAGAAAACCTTTGACAAGGTGCCGTGCAGGAGTGTTCTAACTAAGGTAAGAGGTATTGGCATGGATAGAGGATTGGCTGAATGGCAGAAGGCAGAAAGTGAGGATGAAAGGGTTTTTCTCAGGGTGGCAGCCAGAGACTAGTGGAGTACCACAGGATTCCATGTTGGGACCATAACTATTCACATTATATATTAACGATCTGGACAAAACAATTGAGGGCATTGTTGTAAAGTTCACAGATGACACAAAAATAGGTGGAGGGACAGGTAGTGTTGAAAACGTGAGGAAGCTGCAGAAGCACTTGGACATGTGGAAAAGTGTGAGGTTATGCACCTTGGACGGAAGTATACAGACGTAGACTATTTTCTAAATGGGAAAGGCTTCAGAAATTTGAAGCCCAAAGGGACTTGACAGTCATAGTTCAGGATACTCTTCACATGCAGGCTCAGTTGGCAGTTGGGAAGGCAAATACAATATTAGCATTCATTTCAAGAGAGCTAGAATACAAGAGCAGGATGTACTGCTGAGGCTGTATAAGGCTCTTGTCACACTGCATTTAGAATATTGTAATAAGTTTTGGGCCCCGTTTCTAAGACGGTATGTGTTGATTTTGGAGGGTGTCCAGAAGAAGTTGACGAGAATAATCCTGGGGATGAAGGGCTTGCCATATGAGTAGTAGTTTCTCTGGGTGTCTACTCAATTGAGTTTAGAAAGATGAGGGGAGATCTGGTTGAAACTTACAGAATACTGAGAGACTTGAATACAGTGGATGTGGAGAAGATATTTCCACAAGTAAGAGAGAGTCAGGCTCAGAGCACAGCCTCAAGTGAAGGGACGACTCTTTAGAAGGGAGAGCAGGAGGAATTTCTTCCGCCAGATGGTAGTTAGCTAATCCGTGGAGCTCACTGCCACAGAGG